AGTCGTTGCAGAGTCGGCCTTGACAGGGAAGGCATTGGCGGCTATGACACCCGATCTGGCAGAGGTGATGACACCCGATCTGGCAGAGGTGATGATACCCGATCTGGCAGAGGTATGGGAGTGAGTGTACCGGGGTGATTATAAAAGGTCCCCTTCCCCTAAAGAAGGAGGTATGTGATTTTTGTGCTTTCTGGTCTGGAAGTCTCTCATTCCCCTTGCCTTCTCTAGAGCACTAACTTGAGATTCGGAGTGTTTCGACCGAATTCCTCTCCGAAAATCTCCAGCTTCTTCCTTGTTTTAGGCACCTTTAACTCCGTCAAAGGCAAAACAACCGACAACTAGAACTGACCGGATTGCGCATCAAAAGCAGCTAAAGAAGCCTCTTCCYTGTTAGACTTCTGAGTTAATATGATTAGGGAAGATGATATGCGTATATATTCTCTATATCTTTGGTATTGGTTAATGTACTGACCTCATATGGTTTGGAATTTTGGATTGTCTTAATTATTTTGTTGATGTTTATTATTTTTGTTTTTTCTTTGTAATGGGATGAGTTGAGTTTGAAAGAGAGAATTTTTTGTATATTGAATTAGGGCCTTAGGGGTAAAGGTGGGTTTCATTCTCCCTTGTTTCTTCCTTAATAAAATTTCAAGATAACTGCTCTCACACCTGGAGTAATGTTTGGCGGTTTGAAAAGAAGCAAAAAAAAAAAGAAAAAAAAGTCTTTAGCAATATATATAATGAGTAATTTAGAAATATATCAATGCTATTATAAGTGTCAATATCTCAAGGTTTGACATGGATTATCCACAACTTGAAACGTGATAAAGAATATAATCCTGACATGATAGGATCGGGTCAAGGTCGGTTTATCAATTAATCTGTTAGTTGCTTTGACTATCTTTTTATTATCATGGAGACAATGACACATTAATAAAGAATATAATAGACAAGAAAATCATGAACAATGTATGAAAAAGGTGAAGTTTCTATCTATTGGGTTCAAATGTTGCTTCAAATGCTTTATAAAAGTGAAATCATCAGTAACTTAAAAAGGCTAGTCTTACTCTACATCTACGCCAACTATATTGTCTTTATTTTTTTGTATATAAATATAAATTGTTGTCTATATCAACCGTGCTGTCTTAGGCTCTTAGCTCACGCAAGGAAATTTTAGTAAAAAGACTTAAACCTCTCTTTTCCATTATATATATAATGGAATCAATAAAAAGACTCCTTTGCCCTTAAATATTTTAAAAATTTTCAAAACATGTTAAAAGGTCCAATCTTTAGAGTTTGGTACTTTTAAAATGTTTCTTGTATCCACGTAGTATGCCACGCAAAGAGGACAGGAAGCTTTACTAACTAAAGACCTTATGGTGATCCAATAAAGTTTGATTAGTAAGAGGGTGTTCTACAACGCAAATGTTTTTCCTTTTCACCAGTTTTTGAAATTGCCACATCAGCAAACAAAAATAAAAACATCTTCTTGCACTTCATTTTTGCTTTGATAAGTAAAAACAAGTTGGTTTGTTTCGAAAAACAATTCCTGTTCTAAAAACCATCAAAATGACGAAGGGGTAATAGTTGTTAAAAGGGAGGTTTAAGTCTTTTACCCAGGATTTTATTGATAGCGTCAACATTAGGTTTGATTAGAGCAAATCTTTTGCTTTGTCTCTCTTTGCAACCAGTTCATGCAAATTTTGCACATGATTTCAGATTCTCATCCATTTGGTCAATGCTTTGGTATCACGTCTTTTTCAGCATCCTAAATTATATATGGAACCTTCAGAAATAACAAATCTTGTACAGTGAGCATATAGAGGTTAGAAGTATACTCATTTATAAAAATGAGGGCAATACTTGACTCCCACCACGTTGACATGCACCCTACGACCTCCTGATCTTTTTTTAGATCTAAACCTCAAATTCTTAAACCTTAAACCTTGAAATCAATTCTAAACCCTTAAACCTTAAACTCTATGCCCCTAAATTAACTCTAAATCCTAGACTCTAAACCCTAGAAGCTAAACTCTAAAGTTGGTATGTAAATTGACAGTGGTAGAACACATGTCCTCCCTCGTGTAAGGGTGTCAATGGACAGGTTTTAGATTGGATCCCATCCAATYCAACATCAATTTGGACAGATTGGATGCACCAACAAGACATATTGGATTGGACCAATCCAGTCCAAAATATTTATTAGATTGGATTGGACCTGGTCCATCCGTAATAAATTTATATAGGATTCGGTTGGATTAAGCCAATATCAGATCCATAGATATAAGATAAGAATATAGGCGTCAATGTACATGGCTGGATTGGGTTGAAACCAATCTAAATCAAAACGAATTTGATAATAGGTTGGACGGTCCAAACATTGAATTGGACCATCCAATATGGTCCAAAATATTCATTGGATTGAATTGGACCTAATCTATTTATAATGGACTCACATTGGATTAGATTGGATTGGACCGAATCCTGTCCAATTGACACCCCTACCCACGTGATAGGAGCCAACCAATTATCATCATTCATCATTCATCACTGTCCAAAATTGACAAGTGCAAAGCGAGTTGAGATCTTCTGCCAATAAAACATGTTCCAACCCTCTACCAACTTGATCTAACACCCATAAAAATGAGAGCTGCCATATATAAGATGTGCGGTGTGAGATCATGTTGGTAGTAGAGGGTTAATTAGGACGTGTTTTGTTGGCAATGGATTGTGGGTAGTAGAGGGTTAATTAAAACACTCCTCTCCCACTACTTTCTTTGCCAAGAACTTGTATTGGAGACTGGAAAGAAATGATAAGCCTGAAGCAAATTGAATTATCTCACTGCCAAKGGATTGTGGGAAGAGGAGAAGAATCATTCTGGCATGATAACTGGTTGGGTCTGGGCCCCTTAATAAATAATATAGGGGTGGTGGAAATTGAAGATTTTACTCTCAAACAGGTTCTTAATTGTGATGGGTCATGGAGCTTTAATACAAGTCAGAATATCCTTCCTTGTATCATGAATCAAATTAAGGAAGCTAAATGCTTCACTGAAGATGAGGATGATCGGCTAATCTGGAACTGTAATATGAATGGTCACTTCTCTCTTAATTTAGAATGGAAGCTAGTTAGAAGTCATGATCCTATAATTGATTGGGAAAGTTTTGTTTGGAAAAAAGGCATGCCTACTAGAATCTCTATGTTTATGTGGCGTTTTATGCATGGTGCTCTCCCAACTGATGACAAAGTCATGAAGCGTGGGGAGAACTTGGTTTCAAAATGTTGTTGTTGTGGTAGCCATAGGGCTGAATCCTTTCATCACTTGTTTGCAAGAGGGGTTATGGCTCAAAAAGTTTGGAATTTCTTCTCTTGCTTATTTGACATACACATTAATCCCTCACAACATATTGGTGATCGGGCGAGAGCATGGTAGCATTAGTGCAAAACTGACTCTCAAGTTGACAGTTTAATAGCTATCACCCCATGTCTCATTCTTTGGATTATTTGGAAGGAGAGATGCAAAAGAGTTTTTGAACGAAAAGCTTCAACATCTAATGAGCTGATTTCAAGAGTGAAGAAGTGGTTGATTGATATTAATGTCATCCAAAAACCCCCTCTCAATGCTAGCTCTAACAACCTTGTGCTCCAAACTCTTAATATTACAACCAAGGATGTTAGGTGAAGGAAAATTAGATGGTGCTAGCATGGAAATTTCCAATCCATTATCATTATAAATTAAATATAGATGGTGCTAGTAGGGGGAACCCAAGTGACAGTGGTAGGGGTGGAATTATTAGGGATGCCTTGGGAGGTTTTTGCTTTGCTTTCTACAATTTCTATGGCTATACTTCCTCCATCCAAGCTGAGTTTTTGGCTCTTCTCGATGGGTTAGACTTTTGTCTCCAACTTGGAATCATTGAATTAGAAATAGAGAGTGACAATGAGGTGTTAGTCGGCATCATTAACGGGACAACATCTCACCCATGGTCAATTGCCTACACTTGTATAAAGATCAAACGAATTATTGGTAACATGAGATATTCTATTGGTCACTCATTGAGAGAAGGAAATAGGTGTGCATATTACCTTGCAAATGTGGGTGTGAATTTGAAAAGCAATGCAACTTTTAATTATGTTCTTCATACCCCAGCAAAGCTTAGAAGCTTATTGCATAAGGACAATATGCTTCATGGTCTGAAGCCTTTTTGCTTTCAACATGTGTTGATCTCACACCCAGATTTTTATAACTTAGTTCAAAATTCTTGGAATCAACCCATTGAGTGGAATGATCTGTTTATTCTCTCTTCTAAACTAAAGCTGCTAAAGCAATGCTTAAGAGAATGGAATCGGGAAACTTTTTGGAGATGTGTTTGCAAGTGTGTTAAATGCAGAGAATGATGTTCTTGAAGCTGAGAGTATGATCCTCGTCAACAACAACTATGAGAACCAGTAGAATCTTCTCAATGTAAAGAATATTTTGGAACATGTTTTACTTCAAGAAGAAATCTTTCTCAAACAAAAATCTAGAGAAAAATGGCTCCGGGAAGGTGACAAAAATTCTCGCTTCATCCACACTTCTATTAAAATTGCGAGAAACAAATCCGCTTTAAAGAGACTAGAGATTAATGGTACTATGACTGATGACATGAATCTCATTAAAACCCAAGCAGTAAGCTATTTTGAAAACTTTCTCTCTGAGGAGAAAGTCTTGAATCATGACTACTTGCTTTAGTCTATATATACCTCATTTAATCACAGAAGAGGATAACAATAGTTTGACACGAGTTCCAAATTCTGAGGAAATCAAGCACATTGTTTTCTCAATGAATGTGGATTCAACTCTAGGTATGGATGGRTTCGGTGGTGTTTTTTTCTTCACTCATTTCTGAGACATAGTTGCAGACGGTGTTTGCAAAGCCATCAAATCTATTTTCATCACTAAATGTTTTCCCAGGTATTACACTTCTACTTTTATTGTTTTAATTCCGAAGATCGATAATCACAAGTAGTTCGCCCCACCACCCACGACGCAGTTGTAACCAACAATGTCATCTCTGGTGGCCCCTTTTAATGCCTTACCGTCTATCTCAAACTCGGCACTTATGTCCAACTGTTACCATTGCCACAGGACAAGAAGCTTATCAACTGAAGTCAATGCAATAAATTAAGTAATTAATTAAGCTAAACAGACCTGTGTCGCTGTGCCGACGTCGAGTGGCACGACTGTTCCAGGTCCGACTACCACTTTGTTAAATTCCTTAAGATTCGATCTCAAGTTCTCCACCTCCTCCACTGGCCATTGAAGTAGATTGCTCCTAGTCTTCTGGTCAAACAGCACCACCCTTGGAATGCTCTGTACGAACGTCAAAGTCATCATGTACATGTAAAATTTTTTCATAAATCCATTGGTCTAGCTAGTTCAATTCTAATAGCTAGCTACACTGAAATAAAAAGAATTACAGTACCTGAACTGATGCCCAGCCCTTCTTTATGTCGTCGTCCTCGCTGTCGCTCTCACCAATCCAACCCCACAACACTCTTCTCTGCTTGTTTTGATCGTAGAATGTCTTGGAAGCATAATACTTACCATAATCATAGCGCAACCCAAATCCCACATCCGCCATTTCATTGTCTGGGATCCATGTATCATTCTCTACGTAGTAAGTTCCGAGCGCGTAGTAATCTATCTTAGTGTTGTCGAGGCTGGCCTTGAGCACATGCTTCACTCCAGGCCAATTGTCCGACGTGTTCAGGCCTTTCTTTTCCGTGGTTGAGACAGGATAGAAGTCCACGCATTCCCACATTCCGGTTTCGGGAACGGCATGGAGCAGTCCATCCAAAAGCTCGTAGGTGGTGAAGTTGGTGGTATGATACACTAGAGAAATGCCGGTATCGTTGATCTTGGAGCCGATAGCAACGCGCCAATGGCCGTCGGGACCGAACCAGGCGGTGGTGGGATCTCGGAAGTCCAAGTCGCGAATATGGGGCGGTGGAACCAGGATCGGATTGCCGGGATACTTAACCCAGTGGATGAGACGAGGATCTGAGGGGTCGGCCGGGTAGGCCAGGTTCTGGACCTGAACCTTGTCTTTGGTGAAGCCGGTATAAAGGACGACGATAGAACCATCGGGGAGCAGCGTGGCCGAACCGGTCCAGACACCGTTGATATCGTACCATTCATCAGGGACCATGGCAAAAGGAAGATTCTCCCAGTTGATGAGGTCCTTTGAGATGGCATGGCCCCACGTTATGTTGCCCCACACTGCACTCTCAGGGTTGTATTGGTAGAATAGGTGGTACCATCCATTGTAATACATTGGCGCTGCAACGTAACATTTCCTCGGGTCAGACAACACATTTCTATTCCAATACATTGGCCCATTTTTTTAGTTTTACATATATATATCTAAACATACTGTTGGAGCCTGGGACGTTTAGATGGCTGATCAACTCCGTCCAATTGGAATTGTTGGGGGCAAATAGAAGTATGGAACTAGGGCCACGGTACCTTATTGTTTCGGATTAAGTTGGCTATTATACCCCTCAAGGCCTCAATTATTAACAAGTTGTTATAAGTGGCTGAATGATATTTAAAACTTTTCAACTGTCCAATTTGTAATTTGATGTTTGTGGCACCTCCCATAATTGTATGGACAATAGTCAACAATACCCTCAGAATAAATTTCCTTCAGCCAAAGCCTAAATTGAGGGTGACTTTGTGCATATAATAATAAAAAAAGGTGCCATAAACGGGTAAAGTGGAGTTTTAAAAAGTTTAAAATTGTCATGTAAACAATTTTCAAACACTAAAACTGTAAGTGTAAGTTAATAGCTAAATCCAAGTATTGACCAAAACCCAGGTGACCTATATGTAATAAAGCCATAAAGGGATTCAAATAAATAATATGCAATTCCAGAAAGTAGAGATCTGTGCTGTTCAGAGGATTTACCATTAGGATCTGGAGCAAAACATAAGAAGATTCCGCCGCGATTGGATCAGAACAGTGAGAACGGAACGGCAAAATTCATGTCAGTATGAGATGAGAAACAGTAAACAAAAAAGAAGAAAATATTGGGTAATTGAGAGAGACAGAGAGAGAAAGATGGGAAGTTGGGAACCCACCATTCATCCAGTTCTTTTCGGGTTGAAAATGGTAAGCCGTTCTCTGCCAAGACAACATGGGTTGGGTCCATGGATACGTGACTCCTCCTTTGTTAGAATAGAGACGGAAAGTCTTCTCCGACACCCCTTCCAATACCCCACGTGATACCCCCACAGGTGTAGAAGATGGAAGTGAGTGATGATGATTCCTTTCCATTACATCTGTTAATGGCTCTTGTGATCTTTGAACACAGAGAAACACCATTACCAAAGCTAAAACAAAGATTCCACTCAACAATATAGATGATATCACTTTTATCGGTCTCCGGCCAGGCACCGGAGTTCCCTCTTGTTCAACTTCATTGTGCAGAGGGTTGTAAGGGTATGAGACAGCACGTTCGAGGTCGGGACAGATCCGGAAGGGATCGGTATACATGGTGATGGTGGACGTCGTGACAGTAACGGTGATGCTGATGCTGATGGTGATATTCCTACCAGAACCTACCTATTGTGCATATATTTATATATGTTAGAGAGAGAAGCTAGGTCGATGAATTAGAGAATGTGTCAGATAAGGAGGTGGTCTGCAGATCCTCATTCGTCGTTTGATGCATCCACCTTTTACTGGGACTGGATCTATTTTTGGCTATGTAAGGAAGGGAAACGTAGGTAAACCTTTACAACCCTTGTATTGGTTTTCCTATCTTTCCCTTTTTTTTCTCTACCTTTTCCTTCAAAGTTCAAACCAAACATAGCCTTATAGAAGTGTTATTGTACCAGCACTTCATATTCAATGCCCTGAACAAGCAACGGTTGATCTTCAAATACTGTTTTTTATAATGGATATGTTACATGATTTTTGTCATTGATGCTGATAGCCCATGGGATCTTTGATCAAGGGGTAAATTGACAAAGTTTTGAGGCAAAGTGCTGAACTTTGTCACAAAACAAAGTTTTGAGGGGCCAAAGTGTCAAGTACACGCTATAATTTATTGTAAAAAGTGATGAGGGATAATTTGGTCCTCCCAAACAAGTGGCGACATGTGGCCCCTATTGACATCTCAGCATTGAGTCAGCATACCAACTTGGTAGGTTAGCTTGGAGCACCTCGCTCAACYCGAACTCCACCTTGGCAAGGGCGAGCTGGCAGAGAGCCCGTAAGATTAATGGTGACCTGTCCAAGGAGTTGGTCGAGCTGAGGCGAGCTAAGTGGACTCGCAAGGGTGAGCTCACTAACTGTTCCCAGCACTTGTCTACCAAGGGCGCCGGTACCGCAACCGTTAGAACAGCTCACCGTACCGCACGCCAGATTCTACTCGAGCGAACTATAACCGCCGCATAGAACTCGCAATTGACACATTAATACGCCCAATATTGCGAAAGTAGCTCTTCCAGAAGCTCGGGGTCGTTGCCAGGAGGCCTCGAGCTCCTAATGACTATAAAAGGTGTCCAAATCCACCTGGTAAGGTACATGCACTAATACTCACAAGCTCCTTCACACTCTGAGAAATCTTCATTCACTTACTGACTTAAGCATTGGAGTGCCCTCCTCAAGTAAAAGATACYTGGTCACACTCATCTCTCTTAGTCGTCTACAGTACGTTTCAGCTCGAACACATCAGCATTTGCTTGGCAAGCTTTAGCTCAGCTCAACTTAGCGAACCTCCACATTAGAGTCTGAGTCATCTGACACGAGGCAACATCCAGATTGCGCAACATCAATTGGCGCCAATTGTGGGAAATGCAACAAAAAGCTAACTGCTCTTTTTACTTCCTTTCAAAGTTCAGTAATGGCATCCTCAAGCAATCTACCTACCAACATCAATGGCCAAATCCCTACTATCACCATTGGCCAGATTGGTGTTCCCTTGCACCCAGCCAAAACACTGGAGAATGTGAACGCGCCTCCCCCTGCGGTCGAGCCCGTAGTAGCTCCTGCAGCGGTTGATGCGCGCCAGTTCTACGATTTGGTACAGTGTGTGCAAGGGATGAGCGAGCAACTCAAATCCTGGGATAACAAATTCACCTTTGTAACAGGGGGCAACGACATCAATAAGTACCCCTCCAGCAAGTACCTTGACACAGTCAACAGATACCCCTTCAACAGGTACCCCTTCAGCAGGTGCCTCTATAGAACACAGGCCTGAACCAGGTCAACCAGGTTAATCCAATTCCACCTTGGGTTCGCAACTAGATTCAAGTCTCCAACAAAGTACCAAGACATGACGACAACCAAAATCGCGTTAATGACTTTCGACACAAACTTTGTGTATTTGATTAAAACAAAATATGAAGATAAATTACAAAAATAAATTTGTAATAAAGAAACAAACAAGGGAATGAACTCTCTTTGATTTCTGCTCGATGACGTGAGCATCCTCTGATTGACGGTCGGATTTGGTGAAGACGAAGACGTTGGCGTGTATCTCATAGTTCTTGAAGTGTTGATGTAGATTTCCTTGATTTTGGTGCTTTGAGAGATTTGATGTAGATTTCTTCATTTCGGGCTTCGTGCTTGATCGGTTGTGAATGATGCTTTTGTAAGAATGACCATTTTGTGGTGGCTTGATCTTCTTGGGAGAGCTTGAATCCAAGTGTGTTGTAGAGAACGAAAAATTTTTTCCCTTCTTTCTTCTCTCCTGATCTTATAGTTGCTGGAGGTTGCAGGAGCATGTGGTTGCTTGCAATCTTCAGTGTTGGTGTCTGAGAGATTCTTGCAATGTGATTGCAAGCCCACTTAGCTAACTAATCTCATGTGAGTGGGGTGTTGGGTTAGGGTTTACTCCCATGCATGCACTATTATGTAGGAGTTAGTGGTCTTGCCAATAGGACCACCCTATTACAATAAGAGATGGGCTAGATTGGACATAATACATTTAGATCTTTAGGCCACAAAGACATATTTATGTAAACTTGGGCCTTGGGCCCATGGGGGCCCATATTAATTCATAGGCTGTCATGTAAATTAAACCTATTTATTTGGCTTAAAAATTCACTTGTTTACAAATGCCCTGACGCAGCGTGGACGCAATGAGAACCAGAACTGGCTATGCAAGCACCGGGCGTTCGCTAGCACCTAGCGAATAACACCGATTTCTCTAGGAGAGAGAAAAGGTGGCGAAAATAGGAAGAAGAGAA